CCATGTCTTTCAAAGAACGACCCGGGCGCGCGCGCGGCACAAAGGGAGGACAGAGGAGGCGAGGAGGCACAACAACCAACTATCTCTACCGTCGGTATTTCACGCATCTATCTCTCTATTTGTAAGAGTAGACCGTTTTTCATGACGGCGCACTCAAAACCAACGACGCGCCGTGCAAACAGTCTTCTGGTTATTATTATCTCGACCAAACGCCGAGAATGAAGGCAATAATACCGAGCGGCCCGCTACGCCAACAGCAGCACTGCAAGCAGCAGTACAAACTGCGATCTTTCGAGCATTGTCATCATCATCATCTGCGGTTTGCCGTTTTCTTCCCTCTGGGCGAAAATATATACCACTTTGATTTATTATTAAAATTAACGCGGTTAGTTCGTCGCATCATGTTCATGTTTTTAGGTGCGGTCAGTGTGTGGTCGCCCTTGACAACAGAGAGCGGAGACGAATCTAACGCCCCCGCCCTATTTCTTACACACGCACCCGGAGAACGTCGGCTAGAGAGAAAAGTACCGATCCAACGAAATTATACCAACGGAGGAACTCTTCAACCGCTTTGTAGTGATAAGGAGGGATTATTTCTTGACGTACGTGGATCAGCAACTGTTGTTCTTTCGTTCTGGTCTGCGACCCACCAATCGGTCCCCGCATCGGCGCATTTTTCAGCCTGAGTAGTGTACGACGCCTCTTTAAACAGATACCACTGATACTATAAGATAAAACAACGTACTAACTGGCAGCGCATACACTCTATTCGTATCTAGAAATATATCCTTTAGTCTATATTCCGGATATATCGGATATGCACTTGACATTTATATTTCCTGATATATCTGGAACTTGCCCTGAAAAAAAACAGATACAATAGATAAATCATATTCTTGGGTATAGTAGATGTTTCCTGATATGTGAATTTCCTAATACACAACACTACGGCACACACAAGGTCAAGCTTGTTTAGGTCGTTCACAGCCGGACTGAAGTCTGTACGGGTTATCTCACGGAGCGGAAAATTCCGAGCAAATGCTCCTACAAAGATCAAAATGAGCAAGATAAGATTCGATCTTTTCTGCGGTCTTTAGGGGCAATTCGTAAAAAGCAAGAGATCAAATTCCCTAAAGATCCATCGGTCTTCGGTGCTCGGGGTGATGGAAAAGGACCACCCAATCAAACAGGGACTTATGTTGATCTTCTCGTCCGACTCTCTCTGTGTGTCAATTACTTGCCTATTTTGTCGGACCACCGCAGAAGGGTGTGAGCACCACATGCACACACCTACAACGCGCTGAGCCAGCCCCAGCAAAACAATAACAATATCTACACACTGCACACCACCCACTTTGCACCAGCGTCTTCATTGACTCGACAAGCCATCAACTAGTGCAGAAGAAGTACAGCGTGGAGAAGCGGGAGAATTCAATCATCTTCGACGGAGACGGAGAGAGGTGAGAAATTTCCATCTATCTATCTATGCATACACCTAACGGCATTGATTGACAAAGGTCCTCGGGTTATTCAGAGGAGCTCGTGAGGCGAAAGAGCAGAACTTTGGACTCTCGCCCCTCCCTCAGAGTATTTTCAACTAGGTAACTTAGAGTAGACTAGTTCGTTAGGCGAAAGAGCAGGACTTTGGACTCTCGCGCCTCCCTCCTATATGTACTGCTGTAGTAGTTGTACCAGTCAATATCAACGTGAACGAACGAATGCATGCATAGACTCTCACGTGTGCATATTTATTCATTCGTTTTGTCCCGAAGTCTCTCAACTTTACAGGGGGGAAAACAAAGGTAGATAATCATTATATTTACGACCAAGATTTGTTCTTGATTGAGCAAGCCGACGAACATCGTTCGCGTTGCTGTCCCAAGCTCGCACTATTTATATATGTGAGTATTGCTTATTGCTTCAGGCTTGAGAACGGAGGAGGAAGCGAGGAAGGACCCCCCCTGCATGCACGTGACGCAGGACACCTCATTCGCCACCGAGCTATACCCACACATCCACACGGCCTGTTCGTCCGGAACTACGATATTTGTTGTTGTTGTTGTTCTTGTCTTCACATTAAAAGCCGTTCCGTTCTCTCTGCCTAGTACCTTCTTCTGTCCGTACTAGTCGAACACTTGACGGGATAAAATGGACCCGAACGGTCCGCAAACTATTGCGGGCTCTCGGGCTAACGTAAAAGTTACCCCAGTGCCTGCCTTTTGTCTCAGCGAGTTGTCTTGTCCCGGAGCGGTGCGGCCCTCCAGCTCTGGACCCTCTCCTTTCCCCTCTCTGGTGCATACCCCCACGGTGTTCACCGTGTTCTCTGCTGCGGCATGGCCCCGGTGTCCAAGCCGGGGCGTCTGGATTCAGTCTCATTTGCAGCTACCCAAGTCGGCTAGGTCGCAAGCTACCCCCCGATCTTACGACGACAGCGGTAGTTCCCGGCCGCCAAACTCAGGTCCCCTTCTTATCAGTGCTAGGGACTGTGTTTCGTCTTTTTGTTGGGTGGTGTTTCGAGGTCTAAGTTCACTTACGGACCTCGGCCCACCCCAGCAGGGAGGGGGGCAGGCCGGGGGAAAGTGCTCTTTGTTCACACATATACCGTATATACATCATACTTCGTAGACATTACACACGATGTAGACAAGACTAATGTAAACTGTACGTGCTTATGTAGTTTCCATGTTGTGAGATACACATGTGCATACATACATCATGCACAATGCATGTTCGCATCTCATCTCACGGCGGCGATAACGCAGCATCCACGATCCACGAGAACATTCAACCATTTACTGGAAGTTTGGTCCATCCACGAACAACGAACATTATTGCACCATTACTGCAACTTTGGTGGTTCCCGAGGAAAACTTCAGGGCGACAAATAAATGTCTGGAAATGGTTGAATGTTCGTGGACTTTCATTCCACACTTTCAGAACCCTTCGACAACGTTACACAAACCACCCTGCATGCACGCACGCATGTCAAGGCGATATTCACGAGCAAATATTTGATGTTTGGCTCCTGTGCCTGAAATACACCACGTGTGCGTTCGTCCCATCAATTCTGGCGCCGATTTTCAGGCCTTTCGGTGTATTGTATATACGTGGTCGCCCCGGTGGTCTAGTTGGTATCCTCGACACCTTCTAGAGGTCAGGTCAGGGATTCGAATCCCGGCGTAGGCGAGCTTTTCTTGCAAAGTGAGTTTTTCTCTCGCTTCTGCCCCTGGCCTAGTGGATAGCGCTAGTTCGTGTTTACACAGAGGGAAGAGAGTGCTGAACTCTTCTCGCATTAAAAATCGAAGGCAAAGTACCGCAGGAGGGGAGGGTAGAGAGGGGCTCTTCTGTGTGACCACGGGTTGGAGTAAACGGCACTAGTGCTGTGAGCGCTAATTTGAAATGAAGACAAAAAACAAAATGGACCAACGAGTCCATCTCTATCTAATAGAAATTCGTTTTCTTTTTCGTTTTCTTTTCTCTTTTCTTCCTGTTTCCTTTTATTTTTTCTCATTTTCTCTTTTTTCTCTTTGTCGCTCTTTTTTGTCTCTTTTTCTGTGTCAGATGGCCTTGTCTCTGCTTGCTGCGTGTGAAGCACCAAGATTGAACCAAGGGGGTGTACCTCTTTCTCTCTGGCCCGTGATGCTGACTCCTAGTCTCAGTTGTTACCTCGCATAGCGCGCAGAGGGAGCGGAGGACTCCAGAATATCTGTCGTTGATTTCTATTGACTTGCGGACCCCTCGGGGCCAGTTTGTTTGAGTGTACCTTTTTAGGGTAAGTTAGCCTGTGACCACGGGAATCGACCGCATCAAGTGTTGGATCAGTACGGACATATGAAGGTACTGGGTAGAGAGAGAGATCGGAATGGTTTTTAATGTGAAGACAACAACAACAACAACAACAGAAAAGAGTCTAAGATAGATTAGCAATGGATCCATAGCGTCAGCGAAAGTTCTGGGTGTTGAACACTGTCTGTAGATGATTTCGATCATGACAAAAACAACAACAGCGCTTCGTCATCGTTGATTGAAAATAAAACTGACAATGACAACGTTCGTTCGTTTGTTCGTTGTGGATTGATTGCTGACAGCGGCATCTTCGAAGAAAGATTAATTTGAGCACCGTATATATGCACTGAATATTGGGGGGTTAAGATAGGTTTACCGCTGCTGCGGCCCCGTCCCCCAATGAAGCTCCGTTTTTCTCCTTTGGAAGGAGGGGTGTTTGCCGCGTCGCGTGATAAGATAAAGTATATGTCTATTTGCCGATGTCAAAATCAAAACACACAGTATAGAACTCCAGCGTCCGCTGATGACAGTCATCACGTGACATGTTGCCGAGATGACATAAGAAACAAAACTGCAAGCGTATATTCGTACACCACTAAAACATATCTCTCCGGCGCATCTCACTTTACACCATGGCATGGCAATGCCGTAAAGAGCATCACTAAAACACGAACGATAGGATCATGCAAGATGAAGCGCAACGAAACCCCAGACAGTGGGACGCGAAAAGCGAATGTTTGGCAAAAAGTGCGAATGACAGGTAGAGCTCACAGCTCTCTAGTGATAGGATGGGCGGCTGCAAAAAGTCTATCAGTCCCAATTTCCGCTTGTTCTCTCATCCTGTGTTGGGGTGGGCTCTCCTTGTTTACAAATTATAATATATTTTGTTTTCGCCGGGTTGTTGTTTAGCTGCTGCTGCGCGACGAATCCTCGTGGTGGGGACAACAAAACGGCAGCGCTGTTAAGTTTCACGATTTCCAGCACGCTTTCGCAAGCCTCAACAAAATATGCCCCTCCTCCACTATCAAAGGTACATTTTCTCCTGCTTTGATATTTATTTTCGATATGTACTCCCCAACCCAAACCTGAAAAATAATTAATTAAAATAAATACACCCATATGCCTTTTTTATCGGATACGCACCCCCAGGATCCAGAGCACCAGCACACCGCCTACTGCTGCTGCTGTACCTATACTGCAAACATCCAGACACGATGCTGACCTCACGTAAGATGCAAACCAAGTGTAAATGACTGCTGTGTGTTATAGACCATGTATGTTGAGAGCATAAAGGCGAGAGTATATGATCGTTTCCTGTTCTCTCTCTTCGACGTTCGGCCAGGTTTTTAAGAGGTACCCCGCTACGCGTGGATGAATCCGATGCACCCCCACGGAAACGGCAAATGTCTCTGATCAACGCGGGAGTAAACGACTATTCATATGGTCTGGAGACAGACTCATTCGACCGGCTGATATTTTCGTTGCTCGCGGCTTGTTGTGTTTGCGCTCTTCGTCTCAGTGACGTCCTCACCTTACCTACCTGTGGCAAGAACCACTGATTAGGCTTTATCGGCGATGTGGACCCCCCTCAAGACGCCGACTGTCGCCCTCGGCGTTCAGCATTCCGCAAGCCAGGTGAGCTGGCTCATATTAGATGCTACCCTCACATCAGGCAGAAGAGCGTGCAACGCCAATATTTACACGTGCGGAACCGCGCGTGTAGTAGTTCACTGAACGTAGTATCAAAGGAGAATGACACAAGAAAAGAGGCGGAAACGAATATAGCGGGATGAGCGAGCGGGCTGGAGGAATGAAGGAAATGTTACCAATAATTTCGTGGTGGAAACAACGTGGTGTATAGGTGGGTGGGGGTGCTTCGGACATGGATGTTCAAGGTGTACAATGTGTAGTCTACCAGCTAAAGGGTGCACATGTGTGAAGTTCACGTACGTACGTACGTACTGTACCTAACATTTTCCCAGGAATTCCACGACGGCGGTCCATCGAGTGAAATTTCGTACAAGTACCGAACACTTGATAAGCCCTGCGTTTGGAAGTAAATATGTCACCTCCAGAAATAGTAAATCTAAAACATCTTCTCATCACATGCAAGTATATGTTCGACTTGCGTGTCCCTGCAGACCCACCTCCCCTCCTGTTACACTCTTACGAACTACTGTTGTACTCAACGGCAACGCGGTTTCGCTCCGAAGCGTGCCTAATGAATGTTCGGTGAGATCGGTGTCGGTCCTGTACGCATACGTGACCGCAATGGGTGTCATGAACGAATATGTAGCAGTTCGTCTACTAGCGTGTCGCTCTGCAAACCCATCTAAACTCCTGCTACACTCTTAACAACACTGGTGTACTGTACTGTCATGCACAACACCACGCGGTTTCTTTCCGGCCAAGAGATACACGTGGCCTGCAGCGTGCGCGCGTGCCATTGGTGTACATAGACCACCTTCATCAAATCCTTCGGCATCTACAATCACAAACATCACATCTGTCCGACGTTCGTCTGCCATTACAACGCCAACACTTTTTCCGTGCGCGTGGCCGTACATAATAATCGGCATATATCGATATTCCCCTGTCTTGCAAGGGCAGTCTGGCCGCCCGCCCGCCCCATTGGGGGGCGGGGGGCTCAATCGTTCCCCCTTGTATCATTTATCATTGAGAATGTCGGGTGAGCTGTTCGGGGCCACCCGAGGGCAGCACGAGAATTCGCGCGTGTAGTCAGTGACAAAATCAAACGTGGTCGAATGGCGCGAAAACGTCTCAAGGTTGAACACCGACAACACCCTTTGCCCCACAGAATCCTCCCTACCGAACGCGCGACATATACAGCCTCCCACTGCTGTGCACCAGGAATACCCCCACCCAACCCCAAAAACTCGTAAAATATATGCGGCGCAAATAAATATGAATGGTTGTTCCCGATACGAGAAAGCCTGCGTATCATTTACAATGTTCGGAGGCTAAAATCTCTTTATTGGTTGGCTGAGAGGCGTTTTGGCCTAAAAAGCCGCAGCAAAGTATCTGATTGAAACTCCGGCCACGAGCGTTTGTTCTCTTGCGCATGGGGGTCATTGTATTGCTGTAATGACACGATTGTGTGCTATGATTTGGTGTCATTTCCGTGAACCAGCCTGTACGAGCGTTTCTCCTGTTTCTAGGCTCCACGACCAACGTATCATAGACTATGTTCCCTTTGGTACCTAACTTTTGGTACCAGGCGTCAGGCGTCGTACCGATTTCATGGCTTACGGTTGGCTGCACGATCGCCCAAAGGTGTCAAACAACACACCCAAGAGCTCAAGGACCACTTCGGGGAGATGAGGGGTTTTTTTTCTGTGTAGAAGAAACGTTTAATTTGAAAGGCCGGCGTTCGCCATCTCTGCTTCTGACACTCCTAGATGATGTACCGGCTTCGAATAATGCGCCAAAGCACGCCTGCAACACCGAGTTTTCCTTGCGGCGGAGCTTTTCCCTAACCATGATGTGTTTCACTACACGCATTTTCCGTCATACCATCCATGACCACGTCTGACCACCGAGGTATTTTAGCAGGGAATAGCGGGTTGTGCTCTCTGGTGTCCCACCCTTTCGCGGTTTCCTTTCTCCTCCACGCGCTCGCCAACGTCGAATGATGCAGGTGGTAACACAGGCGGCACACAAAGACACCGCCAAGACCAATCTCTTGGAAGACAGCAGGGGGGCACTCGACTCTTCAACACGCCTCGGAGCCCGGAGGCGCTATCAACCCTGACCATTCTCTCGTCGAGGCGAGCAGCGGCCAGCACGTCGTCGGAAGTTTTGCCGACCAAGCGGGTCATGTGGCCTTGCAGGACACGGCCGAGCTTAGTGGTTTCCTATACGTTCGCATCGACATAATTGGGATCAGGATTGAAATATTGATTGTTTGGGATCGAAGGTTGCAGACCGGGACGACGGACCCTGGCGCGGAGGAACTGTTCACTGTTGGCGTGACGCCAGTTATCACTGACCCTGTCAACGGCGAGGTCACGCTTCCTGAGCAGGTCGTGAGCGTCAATGGAGACCAAGTGGCTTATGTATCGGTTCCCCTTACGAGCGATCAGCTCAACGCCGACAACACCGCTCTCTGCGACGACCAGGATGGTACGAACGCCAACAATGAAGTAGTTTCGGAGGTGAGCGATGATGGATGGACGCCTTGTTTTATGATGAAAGCCAACCCGCGTTTGGGCAACCAAAAAAAATTCACCATGCACATGTGTGCACATACTATTGCAATCGCGGGTTGTGAGTATATTGTGGCGAATGCGGTTTTCAATTGAGCCTAGCCTGTCACATGAAACCGTATATTGATTGATTCTGGTAAGCATCGACCACGCCATTCCAATGATGATGTGGCAAATTCGGCGTCAGTTGTCCTCGAAGGTGAGCAGATTTCGATCAATCAGGGCACTGTTATCCTTGTGCTAGGAGAGTTGTTATATTTCTCGGAATAGTTGGACACCGACACCATTCGCCCAGCTGGTTCAGTTGGTAGCCTCGACATCATCTGACTCTTGAAGATGCGGGTTCGATCTCTGTCGAGTGGAACAGTCGCAATTTAGGCGTCGAACGCACACAGCCGTGAGTAGCGTCTAGCTCGCCCTGTGCATCAAAGGCCCCTAAGGGGGAAGGTGGAGAGATGAAGAATCGAAGTGAAACGCCCCAAACCTCTAGTGTTCACCATGTTCCTGGTTGGTCCCGGGTGGTGCGTTAAGGGATGGAAGGCAATCTCCTTCTGGCGCTGGCTCAAATTATCACGCTTCTACTCTACTGTAGGTAGTATACACCAAGAAGACGCACCTTGCCGCCGTGTTGATTCAGTTTCTACATCCAAAGTTCGGATATGCCACGATTTATCGAACGCTGGGCGGAGGGTGAATGAAGCTACCGACACTTACTGTTTTCAATCAGGAAAGGACACGTTCAGGTTTGCTCCCGGAGCTGGCATATAGAAGGTCTCAGCAGTGTCTGAAAATAGTCCGTGGACTGCGCCGGAGCCCAACATTTGTCACAGATCCTTACGGTGCATGGACCAATGCGTTGAGTGAGGTACATTATACTTATGGGTGATGGGAGAGTGATGGTCTGTCGATGGCAAAGCATTGGTAAGTACGAAGTACAATGTATATATGTGCCGAGTTCACGGCGCATTTGTCGAGCAATTCCTTCGTAGTCCAATGGTTAGGATATATCGCTCTCACCGATGAGACCCGGGTTCAATTCCCGGCGAGGGAGTTTCTTTTTTCATTCTAGTGTAAACTTTTCTTCTTCCCCCCACAGCGGGTGGTACTGCCTTCCCGCCAACTCCGAGTTCCAGGTCAACGCGCGCGTGACCGCTCCTATGCCTTAGGAATTCCCTACCCGGCAGCTCCTCTCTGGCGTGAGCATCAGATCAGCCGATGGCCCTTCTTTGGTGATTGAGGTAAAGAATCCGTACACCACCGAGACGAAAGGGTGCTCTTCTACCTCCGCTGCTTGTCTGGCGGAAGGGGGCCTTCGTATCCTCGGCGGCGGCGGCGGGTCCCACGCGCTCCAAAGCCCCGTCGAGAACTTCGTTCTCCCGGGCGGCGATTTGGTGGTCTCCTCCGCCAACCTTCCGGCGGATTGCCGGCCCTTCGGCGGCGACCGTATCTGGGCCGCCCAGTTCGCTGCGATGAGCGATGCCAGTGGCCGCCGTTCGCTGCCCGGTCGCACCCCCTTCGTAGATTGAATGCTCGAAGCGGACACCATGGCCGCCCCAGGTTGGTGCGTGCTGTTTGTACGCGAGCAAGGGTCGGGCGGATTGTCCAGCGTGCAGTCCAACCACGCCATCCTGCGCGTCGAGACCGGCGGTGTAACCGTCAGGGTGAATGTCGGCGTCAACTACCAGGACTCCGTGCCCAGCTCTGACGGCAACGTGGTACTGGTGCCCGAGCTTGATTTCTGGCAGACCGACCTTGCCTTCGAAGGACTACGGCCTTCCGGCGAGCTCGGAGGGATGCTGGGTGACACCGCTCGCTACGTCATTGGCGACGACGGCAAGCCCGTTACCAGCGGTATGGAGGCGCTGCACGGCCCGGTGGATACATACCGCGTGTCTGGCCCCTTCGGTGTCGACTTTTAACAGATGCACGGTGGTGCTGTGGAGCAAGAGACCGTCTTTGCGTGATCACGGCGTATGCGTGCTGTTGACAAGCTTGCTTGTTGAGGAGGCATAAGGAATTGGCATTCACTGCGCGTGAGCTCAAAGCATCACATGTTTTTGCATCTGAAAAGATTTCGTGTGGAGAACGACGTATCATTCTTCGTTGTTTGCATACAGATCTGAATGGAGAACAGGGAGCTGTGTCATCCTGCTGACGGAGTATCATGCAAGTGTTGGGTTAACTATCGGGGGGAGTTGTATCATGGTACGGACACAAGCTCCACACTTTTTAGAGGGTTCAACAGTACGGTCACATCTGAGCGAGAGCAGGTTACTACTGTAGAGAAACCAGAGTCTACTATCGTTTACAGGCGCTCGCAAACAAGAACTTGCCTATTGTAGGCGTTTCTCCATGAGTTGCCGCCGCTCTTAGACGGAAATGATCACATGTCGTATCTGAACCACTTGTTGAAGTACAGTATGTAGCGAGTCAGCCTTCTCATTTTCGGTCTCGGACGAAGCCGCTGCGCATCCAGATGTACCGCATCCGGGGTGAAAAAGTGTAGGTAGCGGGGTGGTGTGGAGAAGACGTACTCTGTACTTGAGGCTGTTCTTTCCGGATTTTTCGTTTTTTCAGCAGGACTTTCAAGAGGGGTGGGCACAGCCAGGGGAGACCCGGCTTTGAAAATTGTATCGATTCAGATGTTGTCAACGAGGCAAACGGTCGGCGGTCTGTTTCTGGGGTGATGAAAATAGTGATGCTCCCTATCTACATAGTGCATGTGTGATCTCTTTGGTAATGTTGTACGTTGACAGATGAGATCCCTAGGGATGGAGCGAGCTCTTTTGAAGGGTAAGGGCCTCGTGGTCGGTAGGGCATCGATCGGTGATCTTTCTATGATGGCTAGATGGTGGTCGCTAGGACATACAATGAACATATCTGTTGTCGACTAGTCCGAGGCGAGATCTGTAGAGCAGAGGTGGTGTATTTTTCCCCTTTGTGTGTGGTCCATAGTGGCATGCAGGACATGTGTAGGTGGGCTAGCTCGTCATCTGTCCTACAAATAAATGTGTTTAAACGTTGACCTTTGCTGGGTAACATTTCGAACGACGGAATTCCGGTATCGTCGACTTGCCTGAAAGACTTGACAATTTGTTGACTCAAGTTTAGCATTCTTACTCCTGAGCGCGTGACGAGGGTATCTTGGATGTTATTAGGTCATACCGAGCAGGTGGGGATATTTATTTCAGGGGTACTCGACAGAATATTTATCTTTGGGGCCTTTCGGGGGCAATCGGGGCGGGCCGGGGGTACACTATGGGGATGATACTGTATGGGTATGATACATGACGAACGAGGTACTTCCTGCCTCGCCCACGTCTCGTACTCTTAGGGTTAGTTCGATTTCAATCGATGTCACTTACAGCAGTACTCGTTATTCCTTGATAAGGGTCTTTCTCTTTCGGTCTCTGGCGAAGCTTCTTCACGCGCCAAACGTTGCACGACTTGAACCCGTACACTGCCAAAGAAAGGCACTCGTTAATGCTGGTGTCGTTATCGTGTGAGCGTCCACGACTGGCGGCACTGCCGCCGCGGTGAAACAGAAAGACAAGTCCATGTGTTCGTCGACTGCTCCGATCCGTCCATTTTGCTCACTTTGGATATACCCATCCACTGGCTGATCCTTCCGCCTAAGTGGACAAGACTAAACACTACAGACAGCGCCCGCACTTAAGCACCACTTATTTTGGCCGAGGCTCGATGCTTATTGGCTGCCTCAAATTGAGCACCAGTTCTTATTTTCGAAGTTCATATATATTTCGAGCAGGCATATCCGTATGATAAACGGGGTTCTTGTTTCTACGCCGAGGGCCCCATTCAGAGGACACGGGGTTGTTTTTCTGGGTATTCAATTCGACACTTGAGAGCAGCGTGTTCATAGAAAAACAGGGTATGGTATGAGCGTCGCTCAACAGAGACCTCTGGACCCGACCTACCGCAGCTTCCGCGATCACCATAGGGTAGAAATACAGACGCGGCATCGCCCGACAGAATGACACACCTGAGCAAACATTGAACCATCTAAAGGTCCACAAGGTTACGTTCGCCGTGATTGTCCTCCCGCTCTACTAACGCCCTTGCTCTTCGATGGCCGGATCTCCTCCCTGCTCTACGGCGCTCCCCTCAAGCAAAGCCCACGACCCTACCACAGCACCCGAATTGTCCACCGGCATTTTCATGCGGTGCATACTTCGGTCTTGCTCGAAATGCACATGGTAGTCGTAAAGGTGGCGGGTAGGCTCCTGAGACTGCCCAGTGATCAGCTCACCTAACCAGCCCATGCTCAGTTTAAAGAGTACTCCACGCTGCAGCAACGAACTGCCAAAAGCACCGAGTTTAGACGCTTGAATTCGATAACCGGTGGGTGCGACGAAGGAAAAGGTATCGGTAAGCATTCGTCGCCCCTGCGTCGACTCGATGGCCTCCCAATGTGACTTCTAGTGGGCAGTTGCCAGCAATGACATGTTCTTTGATGGCCTCGAAGTAAGTGTCGATCAAGAATGACACCTCTTCCTTTCAACTTTGAACAGTTGGCTGAGCTCCTTCTTCAATGTTTCAAGGGGTAAAGACATGGCTCTCGTGCCTGGATGGCACGCGCAGCCGTGGCAGGTACCCCAATGTCACGCGACAGGGGTATCCTTGCACAACAAAGCTAAGCACCTATCCCACCCCCTCCCTCCGCACCGACCAAGGTAAAATGTGAGCGCGGCTCCGATTATGAAGACCGGGTTCATGTAGTTGCGGAATGTCTATTGTACAAGGAGAGGAAATTGTACGTGACTGAGCTGGGGAAATGAGAAAGGGAGAACAGGGAGATGTTTGAGGCATGGAATATCCAGGAGAAGACGGTAGCTGTACTGGGGTATAGAAGGTGGGTTGAAGAGGCGGCAAGTGATATCGACAAGATAGATAGAGTAGGCAAAACACCTTTGAGACACCTTTGTCAAAGTAGGAAGGAACGATTGGCCATCGGTGATCGGTCCCGCGGGAACAATGCTCCGTCCTCTCGAGGACGCGTGGTCAACGGTCTAGCCGCTAAGATATACACAACATAAGAGTACGCCCCCCTCCCCCCCCGTGCGCGCCAGTATTATTTGAAACGGAGATCCTCTCCTCGCCGCTGATCTGAAACTGCCGGTGGGTGGGGTCACCGGACACCACGTAGGTCACCACTCACCACCTTCTTCATGAGTTGTTATCTTGCAGCTACCCCGTGTTGGGTGTCTGTTCTTATCTGGACGCGCATTGTTACACCACAAAGGCGGGTTCTTGTTCTTAATACCACGTCGGAACAGAGCACGTGTTCTTATGGCCAAGTTCTTAATTTTTTATTTTTCGGGGCTGCACTACGTAAGTTCTTACCATAAGTGCGAGCGCCATCTGTAGCACTTGTGAAGAGAATCATTACATTTTACAGAAAAGTAGAAGGGATCCCACAGACGAACGAACGAGAGATAGACGAATACATGTAAAGTAGTGGGGAGCCGACATGTCGGATCTAGAGAGTAAATCCACTGCACAGAGGGTAATTGTGCTAAATAGCACAGGAGCAGATAACGCACTAACGGGAACAGCTACCCCCGCGTCATCTCCTTGTTGTGTGCTTCGATGCCGGAGGCTGTTGTTGTTGTTGTTGTTGTCTTCACATTAAAAACCGTTCCGATCTCTCTCTACCCAGTACCTTCGTATGTCCGTACTGGTCCAACACTCGACGCGGTCGATTCCCGTGGTCACAGGTTAACTTACCCTAAAAAGGTACACTCAAATAAACTGGCCCCGAGGGGTCCGCAAGTCAATAGAAATCAACGACAGATATTCTGGGATCCTCCGCTCCCTCTTCACGCTATGCGGGGTATCAACTGAGATTAGCAGTCACTATCTATCATGGGCCGGAGAGAAAGAGGCACACTCCCTTGGTTCAATCTTGGTACTTCACAACGCAAGCAGAGACAAGTCCATCTGGCACAGAAAAAGAGAGAAAAAAAGAGAGAAAAAAAGGACAAAGAGAAAAAAAAGGAGAAAAAATAAAAATGGAAACCGTAAGACCCATGTTTATGGTCGCCAAATCTTTGAAAAAAATCTTCAAATGTTATCAAACATTTGCGCGCGAATATCTGCCAGAGGAACATTTGAGTACCGTTTTTATGGGCAAACAAATCTTTATCGTGTGGTTTTCTCGAAATGCATCGCACGTGCGGCGGGAATCGTGGTCTACTGCTACCAAACGATGTGTGACAGACAAACCACAAATGCGTCATGGAAACTGAATGTAACGAGCTCGCAAAGGGCTCCCCACAACCCTTGATGCACTGAGCTGATGCTGTGCCCGCCAATATGTGGCGATAGCGCTCCGTGCGTGCGAGAAAAAATGTTCTCGGTGTCAAAAAGAGACCAAAACGTGCGTCAGCGCTTCCCAACGGCAAAAAGTCGGCCGCTTGAGAGGACATGTGAGTACAAAACTATCCAGCTCTCGTCCTCTAGACCATCGATTCATGTTTTATCTTCTTGGGTGTCTTCTCCATCAACGACTCTCATCCGGTTGTGCGTGGGTTAGCAGTGGCCGCGCTCAGCCGGCAGGGAGGCACATCGTTGTGCGCGCAACGTTGTGGACACAACGTTTTTTTCGGTCTATTTTTTCACTTGAATATAGAGGGCTTGTTCCTCCGTCCCAAAAAAGACTTTTTCAACACATCGAGTTCACAGCGACGCGCCTCCCTGCCTGTTGAGTACGTCCACTGCTGAACCACGCACACCCGGATGAGAGCCGTTGATGGAGAAGACACCCAAGAAAACAAAACATGAACCGATGGTCTAGAGGACGAGAGCTGGATAGTTTTGTGCTCACCTCTCCTCTCAAGCAGCCGACTTTTTGCCGTTCGGAGACACAAACCACGCTTTCTCCGTGCCCTCCAAACCACCCCTGTCTGTTTGTTTTTTTGTGCACGCTTGACGAGCTCCCGCCATGTATCAGCCGGCAAAACATTGACACGGTGACTCTAGGGTTGCCCGGATCCCTCTATGAGCTTGCTACGTTGAGTGTGCGCTGCGCAGTGGTTGGTGTTTAGGACGGAAGGGGCGGTCGGCTACTAATCTCGCCGCTCTTGGGAAACATTTTCGCGACCTGCCCCATTTCAAAATGTTTGAGAATATTTTGTCAAAGGAGCGACTTTTGCCCCATTTCAAAATGTTTGAGAATATTTTGGCGAAGATTTTCTCCCATAAACAGTGAAACAAAATCTTTGTCCGCAAATGTTTGAAAATATAAACATTTTCGCAAAGATTTGGCGACCATAAACATGGGTCTAAGGAGAAGAGAAAATAAATGAAAATAAAATGAAAAAATGAAAAAATGAAAAAAAGGGCGAGGACAAAGAGGGACCAGGCCGAAAATAACAGGAAGTATGAGGCAGAACAAGGCACACGGTGGAGAGACCACTAACGAACAAGCAAACACGCAAACATGGCCACCAACCAGCGATACATTGTAATGGTACGAAATCACTACTACTGGGGGGTTGGTGCAATGGTGCAGCGTTGGGGGGGGGGGAATTGGCGAAAAGAAATTTAATCCGGCACGTGTCGTGCCACTCGGTCCGTCTCTTCTCGTTTGCTTTCTTCCCTCGCCGTCTCGTCCGTCTCCTGCCCCCCTCCCGCCCCATTGGTTGTTGGCTTGTGGTTTCGTTTGAGCGCTCGTTGTCGGCTGGCCTCTTCTTCCTTCTCGTGCCAGGAGGTCATGAACCTCTCAGCTCCCTGCAGCACCGCCGCATGCCAGGGTACTCCCCCCTCCACCTTCGCGGCTTCCGTCCACCTTGCCTTCGGTGCCGTGTCTTTCGGTACGGGAATTCCGAGACAACTTGGGTCGGTTTTCGTAGATCCGTGGTCGGCCCCGAAGGCCTTCAGGTCGTCGAGCACACACTTCGGCCAGTTCTGTTCCTGTCCCCCCCTACGTGGCTTCTCCCCCCCCGCCAGCTCGCCGAGCATCAGTCGTTTCGGGAGTCGCCCGTCCGGCTGCCTTGCCAGTGCTCCCGCGAACAGTAGGCGTCGTTGTCGGATCGTGGCTTCAACGCTCTGGCATTCGACCCTCTTCAGCGTCTGAAACCCGGCCATTCAGCACTCTGTATTTTCAGCCGCTGGATGCTAATAATTAAATAACACACACATAGTGATCAAGCCTGAAGTCTTTCGTTGGTCAGCCAGTTAGCGCGGTCGATGCTCACAGTTAGCGGAACACACACACCGCTCCAACACTCATTGTCGGCAGAACTACAGTATCTTCGGAACATTTTTTCGATACAATGTACTGCTCTCGGGTCCGGGATCTCTACAGTATTACGCATATTTCTAGACTCTCATGTCCCCCTCTTGACCAGACTGGTCACATGGAAAGAGCGGCGGTAGATATGAGGAATACAAGATGTTTACCGGGTCCTGCCCCCCACGGAAGGTTGTCGGCGTGCCTCGTGCGGTTGATTCTTGAGAACCCGAGCGCGGCGAAACCAGTTCCTCTTCGGGCGAAGCCCCCAAGCCTGTCTTTTTTTTTTTTTTGTATCTCATCAAACCGCATCAAACTACATACGCATATAACCCCGCCTCACAACTAATCTAAGCCTCTTGATCTATTGTTTCTGAAGCACTGCCCCCCAACCGCAGCAGAACGCCCACTCACCGTCAGCTCCCCCGGTAAGCACAAGCCCAACTATCCCGCCAAGTTCCTGCGTAATCACAACAACACGGCCCCGAGAAGAGCGCTTTTCAAAAACGGGCAACGGCGGCGTCGAAGAGGTCAGCAGCGGACATCAGCAAGCACAGCAGATCTCCCTCAGGCGGGGATGGCTTCTCCGGGTAAGGCCGCGGCTCCGTGGGCCGTGAAGCTCGTCCACGACGGGAAAGAGCAAGGGGTTCCCGCGGAGAAGATTCGCCAGAAGCTGGTGCTCGAGGGCTTGGAGCCCGACCTCATCGACGGGGTGGTTGAAGCTGGCTCCTTGTCGGCGAAGCTACACACAATTGAACCGAGCTCGCCGTGCACCTCGCCTCAGCGCCGACAGCTGTCCGCAAGGTGTGAAGACGTCGCGCCTGGGTACTAGGTACTCGAAGAGAAGCGAGAGTGAGCCTTGTGGAAAATCGAAACTTCGTCGGATGGATGTTGAAAAATGCGGGCGCATACTGCTGTGCTGGGCACGGTACGACCCCAGACGACCTTTTGGTGTGTGGGGCTTGTGCGTACAACGTACATCACCCGAATCCCCCTCTTTTGACAAACGACGAACGTGAATAATGTTCGTCCGCCCACAGGAAATTCCATGACATGCTCTCGGTTGGTCTACCTCCTGCGGTTGTGCGGCAGAAGATGGCAATGGTGAGAGAGAGAGAGAGAGAGAGAGAGAGAGAGAGAGAGAGAGAGAGAGAGAGAGAGAGCAAGTACAGCAGTGTATATCGCATTTCAGCATTTCAGCAGCCCACCTGCATTCCTGCATAGTACCGAAGTACGTTCGATGTTTCCCCTCCCTGCGAATCATCCGTGCGTTGGTTGACCTGGGTGTGTGTCCAAAGTACGTTCGATGTCCCCTCTGTTGCCCTTCCTTACGTATCATCCGTACGTTGGTTGACCTGGGTGTGTGTCTCTGACGATTGTGCGCACTGTCGTACTTTCGGTGTCCCATTCCCCCCCATTCCCCCCCCTCCTTACGTACGTCCGTCCTCTCGAGAACGCGTGGTCAATGGTATAACCGCCAAGGCATGCAAAACATAAAAGTACCCCACCCCCACCCACCGAAGAACAGAAACGAATCTAAGGAAAGAAACCAAGGATAAGGAGGGTCTAGAAGTGTACGGAATGTTGAAAGAAGGAATAGGGTTCAAGGATTACCTACATGGACCAATGGATGCAGGGACAGAGCTTTAGGTCAAATTCAGGACCGGGGACATAGGCCTTCGAGAATGTCGACGAAGACATAGAGCGGTAGACGACGAAGACGGCAAGTTCAAATGTGATTGCGGCTTCGCATACGAAGACCGTGTTCATGTAGTCGCGGAATGTCCGTGGTACGAAGAGGAGAGGGAAGTGTACATGACTGAGCTGGGAAAAATACAAGGGACGTACAGGGAGATGTTTGAGGCATAGAATAGAGAGGAGAGGACGGTAGCTGTACTGGGGAGTAGGAAGTGGTTTGAAAAGGCGGGAAGGGATATCGTTAGGATAGACAGACTAGGGAAGACATTCTTGAGCCACCTTTGGCAATGTAGGAAGGAACGATTGGCCATCGGTGATCGGTCCTGTGGGAACAATGCTCCGTCCTCTGGAGGACGCGTGGTCAATGGTCTAACCGCTAAGACATGCAAAACATAAGAGTACGCCCCACAGATGATGAGTTGTTGTCGAAGTTTCGTGGATGATTGGCTTCGTAGAAACGCACGTTCGACCACCATTGGCATGGGCGGCTATGTTTCTTCCGAAGAGTTCGTAGAAAGGAAGGTGAAGACTACGTAAGGCACCGACGCGTCCTGGGCATACTGCAGTCGTCCTCAATGCATTCATTGGACTCAAAAAGCGAGGGAGGTGCGTTTTTTTTTTCGCCATGTGATTGCAGTCGAACCCGTTATAAAGGGGCTTCGGAATCGGATAAACCTATGTACTTCCCTTTTTCATGCATGCTTACTGCTCTGCTCTTGACATTATGAAGGACGGGTGCCAGCCAGAGGAAATCAATAACTTCTTCGCGTCGGCTGGAGGTGTGGCGACGGCGGAGGCGGAGGAGGAGATGGATGAGGAGGCTAAGCTCGCAGAGCCGCAAGCCGCTTGATCAGGTCGCTGATTCTGAGCGACCAGCGATCGGTTCTTGACCGAACGGTTATCCTTATTTTTGGTTTCGAGGCGGCGTTGCAGCAGGACCTGCCGACCAATAATTTTGTGCGAGTACCGATGGTGTGGATGGTTCATCGGTCATTGTTTGGGTTCGAGGTAGTGTAAGAAGCTGCCACCGATAACATGTGGGAATGGGGAACAATAATCTTGACGTATTTGATGACGGTGTGGATGAATACGGTCTGCTACGGGGTGTTCTTCCGATCCATCCATCCGATCGGTTGCGACGTATTGACCGGACAACGCTTCCATTTTGTTGCTGCCTATTGATGCCTTCCCTTGCAGAATAGGAGCTCCTCCACCATGCTTCGCCTCGTTTGTTTTTTGTTGATTCAGTTGTAGCTGTATCGAGGCCCGCTTGCTGCAGCCGCCGCCGCCGCCGCCGGAAGCTTGCGTTGTACGCAAAGTTCATCAACGAAAACGGTTGATGCACCGAGGGTTTAGGACTTTGTTCGCCCAGGTATACGCACGTCGTTGATTGGGTCAGCATTTTTTTTATGTGGGCGTGGTTATCAACACCTCTACCTGGGTTGTAAGCAGCTGGTTTGTAAGTGCGCTGGGGCGGCACGCTCTAGCTATACCATAGTAGTACTAGTGTTGACTCACCTGGTGTTTTTTTACGGTTGCTTGGGTGCCATACGTTTTTTTCTTGGCTTTTTATGCAGGCTAGACCTACTGGGCTGGGCACCGCTGTCTATGTCTGTTGCTCTCTCACTGTGCATATCTACGCGGGAGATGCACGCATTGATTCCTACTTAGTTGTTGAGATTGAGACATAAATGTACCCAATATTAACGTTACACAGCATATCGTGTTGGTGTATGTAGCCTTCCAGTTTTCGCGTGTTTACGGGGGCGGCGAGAGGGTAAAGTGTTGATACGTGCGGTAGGATCTCTGGTTCCAAGAGATGTAGATGTGTGTAGCGACCCGGCTTATTTGTTGTTGACTAGGCCTTGTCTAGCTAATTTGGTGTAAGGGGTGGGTTTCTGTATACAACCCTGGCAGGATAATGTAGATACACACAGCGGCAGGTGTTCCTGTTTGTTCCATGTGTCCGTGCGTGTTTCCTTCTGTAGTAATGCTTCCTTCAACACTTTCCACCCAACGTTTTTTGTGCCACATTCTATGTATTGGCACCGCTTACGCCTTAGAATCAATCGGAATCTGCTGGTGGCTCTCAAGGCATGACTTGCCCGACTTGCGCCGCAGATACTGCGGCCGGGATGAAAGAGAAGGAACATCTTGCACTGATAAGCGTGAGCCTCTGCATATGATATCCCCTGAACCTTTTTGCCCCTCTCTTCGGGTGATCGCAACCACGCTTGTTTCACGGCCATGTGGAATGCGCGTCGTGAGAGCATTCCGTTCTAGGTTTGTTTCTGCTCATCGTGTGGGGAAAGCAAGACAGATCTTCTTTGTTCCGTTTGGGCGTGTGGAGGAAATGAAGGGTTCCAGGCGTCTGTGTGAAGCCTAAGCCGACGGAAGAGCTCCCTGCCTCTCTCACTCTCTTGACACGGTCGGTGTTGAAAGGCACCAACAACCAACTCGTTCGAAGAGAGAGAATGTTTGTGAGACCCACCGTTATTGTCTCCTGCACCGACACCTGAACAGCAGCAGCGGCATTGCACCACCGTGTATCGTACGTTTGACGGGTGATGTCCCTTGTGTGTCATGCATGTGACAATCATCAACGCCGAGCGTCCGAGGCACTCGCTGGTGGACCAAGCCCAAGCCAGCGACACACCACAACGATCTCCGCATATTCTTCGGCGTTTATCTTTTTTTTGTTCCTCAGGTGGACTGACTGGCGGAAAGATACTTTCCCGCTCTCGCGCTGCTTCCTCCCCGACACCCAAGGCATCGCTGGAGTCGTCCAAACACATACACCAAAACCGCGCCATCCTCGACCTGAGACGAATGGACGACTGCTGTCGACTCAAGACCTGACCCTGCCGACATGACATGTGGTTATCGGGAACCTTTGCAAAAAACTAAACACACGCACAACAACGGGGTCATCCTCGACCTGAGACGAATCGACGACAAACTGTCGACTCAAGACCTGATCCTGCCGACGCAACACGATGATCGTTCATCGCCGGTGGCGGCGATGGAATGGAACCAAGGTGAACGGCGAGCGTGAGGCAGCCGGCCTTGGTCTGGGCGCCAACTGCTGTACTGTAGTACTCAGCTGTAAAGGTGGGCCGAAACTTGGATTTGCAGGCTACGGACCTCACAACGTCGGAGGCACTGGCTTTTTATCATTTTCGATTAATATTCTTCCGCGTTTACTTCCTCCGAAATATGCATTGTTTCCACGGAAGCAACGCGACAACGAGTTAGTCATGAAACTCGCACGACGGTTTCAATCTCACGTTTCCATGAAGAAAAAAATTTTCAGTACGGACGGGGGGAAATGCCTCCTGGACTTCTCTGCTAAAATCATTACAACCCCGGAAAACAAATTTGGCCATGACTCGCGGTAAAAGTGAGTCCCTCGGACATTGCGAGTTGGCTCGAGTACCACCGAAGCGCGCATGATTTGTATAGATGGTGACCGCGTTTCCTTTACACATTCGTTCGACTATACACACACGCCGCACGCTCGACAACACTACATGCACGCAATGCGCAAAGACTACAAGGGTAACTCTATTCTACATACATATACGATGTACCTAATGACGTAAACTACGCCACGGGGAAAACGGCCTTGAGGCCATTGAACAAGAGGTCCGCTGCGTGGGGATCCCTCGCCGCTGCCACGAGCACGTCTGGCCTCATGGACCGTATCCTTGCGTGGTTGCTCTCCGCCGAAGCTAAGGCAGTCAGAGTCACCGCGGCTGTGCGCCGAGCCTAAAAAGGGAACCGGGAGGGCGGGGCGGTGGAGGAACGGGGGGGCGGGCGGGTAGGAGTATTTTCAGACACCCCACAATATAGATAGGTGGCGACAGGAAACAGCAGTGCGATCACACCGAGTGTGACAGTCCTCGATACACGATCTCGAACGCAGTCAATTCTGGAAACCATCATACCAGAACAACGGATAGCCCTCCCTTTCAGGCGAAAAAACAGGAGACACAAAAAAAAAAATCACCGACGACACACACGCGTGAACGGCGCCATTTTGTCTGTCAGAATCGGTCGCGAGCTCCCTTCGGCACGACGACTATTTTGGAGGAGAAGAGCGCAACAGCAGTGACGTTAGGGGCAAAAAAAACACACCACCCCCACCGCCATCACCCTACATGAACAACACGACAACCACGAACGCCAATGTTGCTGTGGTCAATGTTAACGTTTGTTGATACAATGGTATCACCACCACCACCTAACCACCACCATAATTACTACTGCAGAACCAACTACCTCCCACCAACCAACGCCAGGAGACCTGACACAGTGGCAGCACCCAAATAACACACACGCCTACCTCATGGTCCACCCGGTGGTCTCCCGCGGAGGTGGCGATGGCGAGGCAGGTCAGGGCCCGGATGCAGCCGGGGGCCGCGCCTAGCCTCGAGCGGAGGTTGTCCGACACTCCGGTGAGAAACGACATCACCTCCAGAGCTGTGTCCCGTACCTGTTGTGCATGCCGGCATGTTTGAGTGTGACAAACGGACCAACCAACAGATGCAAAAAACATACACGTACACACACGCGCGCAGCAGGCGTCGTTTCAAGTCAAGTGAGAGTAACCATGATATCATTAACCCTGTTCCGCTCCCGTTGCCGCCCCGGCATGTTGTGTGCGACCGACGGACCGACACATGTATAAACACACACGCAGAACAAACGCCGGTGTTGTGTTCAAGTCAAACATGAGTAACCACACAAACCCTCCTCTTCACAAGCCGCTGAGCGGGGAAAATGAAGCAGTGGAATCCCTCTCGCCGGTGGTGGCATGCATGCTTCATCGATCGCTTTTTCTAGGCCCCTTGCTTTCTTCGAACGAACAGAGCATCACGAGGGCCTCGTTCGAGACGGCTAAACAGATTAGATACAACCTTTGGATGAATTTTGAATCGTTCGAGCCACGATACAGGTGCTCGATAGCTGTGCAGGCATACCACCAATTGCTTTCCCCGTTTTTCGTTTGTTCGTATTCCTTTCCCCCGTGATTATCTTCATGAATATCCTTCCTCATACCTCCAAGAACGACAATAGAACACCCCCTAATTCCCTAAATCGGAATATAGGTTGGCGTCGGGTGGCACCGCGCCGTAAAATAGCCATCGAACCCTAGACATGAAATAATTGTACTTACCGACTTTTCTTTGCCCATTCCAGTACACAAACCTGATATAGACATGAAATAACGGAACTTACCACTTTTTATTTACCATACCATAACACGAAGCTGGCAATAGACATGAAACTACTGAACTATTTTTTTTTTTTTTTCCATTCCTGAAACCAAAGAATACGAATAGACATGAAACTACTCATCTAATCATTTTTTTTACCATACCATAACTTAATAGTATCCCCCCCCCCCCCCAATAGGTTTTTACACTTAGACCCAATCCCCCGTAACCGAACCCCCCGGGAGAATGGACCCCCCCCCTTTTTCCAACCCGTACCCCAACCCCTCCTAAAAAATAGGGGCCATGGGCCCCCCCCCCCCCTCTACCTCCCCCAGAGGATGAGGGTACAGTCCAAAGTAAGCACAAGCTTACCTAAGGTTAATGCCTATTGGTACGGCATTAAAAAAATATACTAAAGTCCCCCATTGGGCGGTGGAGGACTTAGAGTTAAGACACCCCAAAACTTTCCGGCGTGAGATCCAAAATGGATCGGACGATGGAGGGGGGGGGGGTGCTCGTTGCTTGAAGTGGACCAATATAACACAGAGCCATCCAAGCAAAGCTTATTACTCACCTGAACGACCTGACCAACCACGCAAAAACTGCGGAGCTAGATGTGCGGCACGCACAATGAATTGTTTTCGATTGGAGAGAGGCGAGTACAAAGCAGTAAGGAATTGTTGGCCAAACTTTCGGCAGATAGGTCTACTCGGGAGCGTAAGTGGGGTAGCAACCCATGGTGGAGCGTACATGAGAAGCTGGACGTTGTTGTACGATCCATCCCGGCGTGTGAGTAGGATCTTAGGCTATGCAAGTCGTCCCTGAACTTATTGTGGTGAAAATGACCTCCCAGGAGGAAAGTAGCCTGTACCGCGGGACTTCGGAGATGACAAATTGGGTGGTCGGGGGACGTCTGGGTGTTTACTAAGCAGAACGCCCGGCACAAGACTGGGGTACTTGTGCCAGGAGGTGTGAACTTGGATCTAGACTACGAGCCCATGTTGGAGGCGCTATTTAGCGTCG